TTTTTACTAGAGGCATAATGTGAGCATAATGTTAAGCAATTTCATCAGCAGTTTTTTTCAAAACTGACTTGTTGTAGTTTCAAAAACTTGTTACACTCCCTATACGATGCTAGTGCTGGAACAAATCTGATTACAATCCCATGAAAACGTGGTGACTTTGTACAGATCCAATGACACGCCGTACAAGGTGAAGATGTAAACAATGTTAATCCATGGATTCACAGCTTTTCATTCATAATTTTCATATTGCTTACATTTCCTCTTGTTGCATTATTTGTAGAATAAATGTACTCATCATACTCACACAGGGATATATATTTAAAGGGGACAAATACATCTTTCAGTTGTTTTGTTATCAATTATTTTTGCATAGAATTCATGAGTTTACTCATGACCCTTTGTAAAACAAACAGAAACAAAACATAATCTAGGGCGAGGTTATAATTTTAATTTTAATTAATTTTAATTTTAACCTTGCGAACGTTGAAATTACGTAGCGATAGACGGTCTACCTCAAGTATTGTTAATGAATACCCTTTTAATACAATTCATACACATTCATTAACAATCAAGGTGCTAATTGGAAGTGACCACAATTATTTATTTTATTAAAGTCATATTTGATAATCTTATGGTATGTAATTGATAATAAATACCCCTGGTTTTTTGATAAAATTGCTATATTGTTTGTTTATTTTGGTCTATTGAATAATTTTGGGTTGATGAACCAATTTTTATCTCCACATTATAAAGTAAACTTCTTAATACAACATTTATTTCTTTCTCATGTTTGGATGACATGTTCATCATATATGAAATTGATTGATTGATTGATTGATTGATTGATTGATTGATTGATTGATTGATTGATTGATTGACAGCTTCATGGATGTTTATTATCATTACTAACATTAGTGTTGGCATGAAACCAATATTGTCTAGTAACTATTACTAAACAACAATTTCATTCCATAGATATTTACTTAAGGTAAATTGTTGAATTATTTACTTGATTAAATCATACAACAATTGTGATTTAAGTTCTTAATTAAATCAACATTACTGTTTTCAATCAATAGCTAAAATTGCAATGAAACATCAAATCCCTCTTAAATTTCTATACTTATTAAGTGGATCACCAGCAGCAAGACAGTCAACCTGTCCCTGCCCAGCAGCAACCTTCTAGCCTTGGTCAGCAACCAGCAGGTAATTTATAAAATCACAGTATAACTAGGGCTTCAATCTTTTATTCATTTCTTCTAAATACTGAAATAACATAACCTTTTAAAAATTAGAGTCTAAATTACCTGTTGTAAATGTTACCATACACATATTAAACATCTATTGTCGTCTTCCTATTAATAGTTTAATGTGCATTGCAGCAGGTAATTTATAAACTCACTTTATTACTAGGGCTTCAATCTTTTATTCATTTCTTATTAATACTTAAATAAAAAAGCGCTTTTGATTGTTACTAATCTTAGTTCTATCTATTGCGTCAATATAGATAAAATTATTAAAGACGTCTCATGCAAAATACAAATTCAGAAAATTGCAATACATTGTAATAACTGCATTCTTGTTAAGTGGGACCTCAGCAGCCTCAGCCTCAAGGACCCCAGCTGCAAGGATTGCAACCTCAAGGTAATTCATAAGCAAACCAAGGCTTCAATCTATAAATTAGCAAAAATGAAAGACTTAATGCGATAAAAAAGCGCTTTTGATCGCTACTAATCTTAGTTCTATCTATTGCGTCTACAAAGATAAAATTGTTAAAGACGTCTCATGCCAAATAACTTAGCGCCCATACAAATTCAGAAAATTAAAACATATGACTGAGACCGTAAAAAAATGCCAATTATTTATAGTTATATTAATACTAACCTTAGAGGGCGCTTCGCGTCCATCTTCTAAATTAATTTTGAACATGTTCTCTTTGTGTAAATTGTAAAACAAAACAAAAGAAAGTCGTGGATTTTCACAATAAATTTAGTGGATTTTCAAAATTTTCAAAATTTAATGAAGATCGAATTTTGATGGAGGCAAATATTTAAAATTTCAATCATTTATAAACCTTCCCTGTGGTCACGTGATGTCACGTGATATCTAAATGAGTCCCTCAGTAGTTCACCCTGTATAGTATATATAAACCACCCCTAGTGTAGTAAATATACACACACACCCTGTTTAGTACATACACACACCCCTGTATAGATGATAAACATCCCCACCCCTCAAGTTTCAATTTTTTTTCAATGAAGGTCAGTATAGATAAGGCCCCGGTCAATTTTGTCCGTCTCGGCATCGGTCAAAATTGACCGCCCAGTCAATTTTGTCCGAGCCAAGACGGACAAAATTGACCGTTTACTGCTGCCGAGACGGACAAAATGTGCCAGGTTTTATATCTCCACAACCCTTCATTGAAAAAAATTGAAACTTTAGATCTACTCTATGGACAGTATAATAAGTTAACCCTGTGCATTTCAGCAAGATCAGAAAAAATTATTTGTCTCGTCACTAATGGTTTATATTTGTATACTTATTAAGTGGGTCACCAGCAGCAAGAGAGTTAACCTGTCCCTCCCCAGCAGCAACCTTCTAGCCTTGGTCGGCAACAAGCAGGTAATTTATATACTCACACTATTACTAGAACTTCTTTTATTCTTTTCTTCTTAATACTTAAATAATTAATAATTATTAATTAGTCAATAAATTTTTAATTTTAAACGTTTCTTATCATTTGGTAAAGTGTCATTTTTTAAAGTGATATTGAATAAATATTTGACCCTAAAGCATTTATAGTCTATTTAAAATATGACTTTAACAATAATGTTTATTAATTTCAACTTATCCTCTTTATCTCATTTATATGAACTTTAGTATCAAAATATTTTTATACAGGAGATGTACAGGAACGAGACATAGTGTACAATTAAACTGTACATACATCGAACTTGAACATCACAAACTATCCAAGTCTTTCTCATTCAAACACAATTTTATATAAAGAAACTTTCTAGTTTATTTCTGTGTAACCCTTTATTTATTAGAACTCAAAGAATGCATCTTAAGTCATATTACAATTTTTAAATTAAATTTAACAACATTTAACAAAAAAAGCATAAATAATTATACACATCTAAATATAGTTCTTCATTTTTAAAGTAACCTTAGTAAAGATGCAATTTTTTACATGCTTTATTTAAATCAAAATCCATTAATTAACTAATTTACTAACAAAATATTTGTAATTACCAATATTTTAATATAATTTTTCATTTCTTTTATGATGATTTTTGCCTCAAACTCATATTATTTAATTAAATTCTTTTTCATAAAAGATGGAAAGTCTTGTAAAATTTGTATCAAAGGCAGGGTTAACAGGTAATCCTACTTTTCTTTATATATTTTTTCTAATCTGTTTATCACTTAAAGCTAAAATAATGTTCGCATAAAAATGAAAAGGGGTACAGGCTTAATGGGATAAAACACGCTTTTGATTGCTAATAATATTACTTTTTTGATTGCTAACAATATTACTTTTATCTGTTAAATAAAAAGATTATTATTTAAAAACGACTCACGCCGAAGAGCGTAGTGTCCATACAAATTCAGTAAGATGCAACATTTAATTCGGATCATAAACAGATCAATTTTCTTTCAAACAAATCATTTTGATATTACAAACAATAGTCATCTATTATTTCATTTCATTCTTATTTGATATTTCATAATATTTTGTATTTTTCATGATTAAATTTCTTGAAACTTGAAAAAATTTATTCCTGTTTCCAGTATGTTGTACACTGTACAATGTAAACTTCTGTCCCTGGTCAAAATAAAATCACACCAAATTGATCACACTTTGAAATTCATACTTAATTAGCTGGTCAGCAACAGGGTCTCCATCTCCCTGAAGCTCAGTCTCAGCAGCAGTTGCCTCTGTCTACAGATTCTTCCACTGTTATCTCGCCAGGTAATGCATGAGTACAATCAAAATCAAATAACCAAAAATTTATCACTTTTTAATTTTTTAATTGTTTACTTGGCCAACAGCAGCTTGTCCCTGGTCAACAGCAGCCTGTCCCTGGTCAAAATCAAAATCACAACAAATTGATCACAATATTAAATTTGTAATTATTTAGCTGGTCAGCAACAGGGTCTCCCTGCAGCTCAGTCTCAGAAGCAGTTGCCTGTGGCTTCTGGTTCTTCCACTGTTCTCTCGCCAGGTAATGCATAAATTCAATCAAATAACTAAAAACTGATCACTCTTTTAATTTTATAATTGTTCACCTGGTCAACAGCAGCCTCTCCCTGGTCAAAATCAAAATCACAACAAATTGATCACAATTTTAAATTCATAATTATTTAGCTGGTCAGCAGCAGGGTCTCCCTGCAGCTCAGTCTCAGCAGCCGTTGCCTGTGGCTTCTGGTTCTTCCACTGTTCTCTCGCCAGGTAATGCATAAATTCAATCAAATCACTAAAAACTGATCACTCTTTTAATATTATAATTGTTCACATGGTCAACAGCAGCCTCTCCCTGGTCAAAATCAAAATCATAACAAATTGATCACAATTTTAAATTCATAATTATTTAGCTGGTCAGGAACAGGGTCTCCCTGCAGCACAGTCTCAACAGTTGCCTGTAGCTCCTAGTGTTCAACTTCCAGGTAATGCATAATTATACAATGTTTATATTATTACATGAATAAAATTTAATTTTTTCATAATTAAAACAGTTTTTTTTGGTTCACGGGACATGATCAGGATAATATGATCAAAATTCGAAAATTTTTCTATTGCAAAAAGTTTACTGTTGTCTAGGTTTATATTGATCTACCAACGGTTGTAATTTTGTAGCACATTCATCCATTTAGCAGTGTTTTGGATCCATATCTTTTTGATTTGGATCCGGATCCGCATCCGTGATGATGGATCCGGATCCGAGGTAACTTTTGATTCTGTGAATCAGATTTTCCCTATTAAATGTTATGCAAGGTTATAATTTATAAACTATGTTTATTATATATTCCGAAACCGGGCGAAATGTAACAAAAAAATTAAAAATTTTAAAAAATATAGACTTTTTGCCGGAGTAATCCTTTGGCGCTACCCGGATCCATATCAACGCTTCCTGATACGGATCTGGATCCAACCAAATGATACGGATCCAACCGGATCCGGAAATTATAATTATTTAGCTGTTCAGCAGCAATCTCTCCGTCCTCAATATCAACAGCTACCTTAAACTAGTGCTCCAAGTGTTAAACTACCATGTAATGCATAAATAAACAATGTTAACAAAGCGTCATTAAAATTATAAAATTATTTAGTTGGTCAGCAGCAGCAACCTGGTGGACCTGGTGCTTTGCAAGGTAGTAATTATTTAATTAATTTATTGGATAATTTGATAGCTGAATAAATTCCAAATATATTAAATTAATTTAATCTTCATTTTTTGGTCAAATTTTTTATTTATTAAACATTGCTACTCATAAAATTGTCCTTTATTGAATTAATACAATTAAACTTGCATGCAATTTTTGATTTCGTTTTTTTAAATAATTTTCTTTAGCCCTGTATTTTGAACATTTATGCAAAATATAATGTCTTCTTCATTAGCAAAAATCCGTCAATCAGGAATTAATATTTTCAAATGTCACTCTCAGATTACAAAAAGTATAAAATATTATGTAATATTAACTATATAAGAATGCGTTAAAAATAAGCGATGACTATAAGTTGCAATATTTGAATGATTTGGTAAAATCAAATTGATTTGTTTACGATCCCAGTTGAATGTTGTATCTTTCTAAATTTGTATAAAAGTAATATTAGTAGCAATTAAAAGCGTTTATTTTTTTATATTACACACATCTATACTCTATTGTCGTCTTCCTATAAATACTTTGTAGTGCACAACAAGTCCAACACACTGTAATAACTGTATTTTATTAAGTGGGACCTCAGCAGCCTCTTCAACCTCAGGCACACCAGCAGGCAGGACAGCAACCTCAAGGTAACTCATAAGCAAACCAGCACTTCAATTTTTCATTTATGTTGTCTTGATATCTTAAATATCAACTAATAAAACCATTTCAAAATGAAGACTCTAAATTTCCATGCGCAGCTGTACACAAAACTATACTCTATTGTCGTCTTCCTATAAATACTTTGTAGTGCACAACAAGTCCAACACACTGTAATAACTGTATTCTTATTAAGTGGGACCTCAGCAGCCTCTAGGGCAACAGCAACCACCAGGACCCCAGCAACCACCAGGACCCCAGCAAGCAGGACAGCAACCTCAAGGTAATTCATAAGCACACCAGGGCTTCAATCTATAAATTAAAAGAAACTATACTTGGAACTATTCCAGCCCAGTTTCGAGGAATACAGGTAAATTAAAAAAATTTACTTGGATCTGTACGAGGCAAAATTGGAGGATTAAAGTTAAATTAAAAGAAGTGTTCTCGAAAAATGAAAAGGGGGCATAGGCTTAATGCGATAAAAAAGCACTTCTTATCGCTACTAATCTTAGTTTTATCTGTTGCTCTATAAAGATAAAATTGTTAAAGATGTTTCATGTTTCAATTTAATTTCAAACAAATCATTCAGATATTACAACCTACAGTCATCGATTATCTTTCACCACATTTGTATACAGTTTATATTTTATAATAGTTTTGATTAATTAAATGGTTTTGAATTTGATTATTTATCTTGTCGCTTGCACAACTATCTAAGAATGCCAGTGCAATTTAATATTCTATTTAATATTAATATTTAGCCCAAGGGAGAGGCAGAAGGAGAGCAGGAGGAGGAGGCCGTTGGATTAGAGGAGGAGGGCAAGGAGGACGTGGAGGAGGACAACAAGGAGGACGTGGAGGAGGACAAGGAGGTCAAGGAGGCGGAAGAGGAAGAGAAGAAAGAGGTAAACTAGATCAATATAAAATACAAGTCTATATATTAAAATCATGAAGATTTCCATTCTTTCTATAAAACTATATACATTACCATAGGCCGAACTTTAAGAATTTTTGCCGACGAGGATTAAATTTAACCTGCAACTCTAATATGGTTGGTTCCACTTAAAATTGTAACTAAATCTTTTAGTTTTTAGCCAGCACTCAATTTAAACCAGTTATGAAAATATTTCAGATGCGGCTTAAATATATTAAATTCAAACATTGGTCACCCAAAAATATTTCAAACTCAACTTAAAAAGTTACGATTAGGGTTCACTGTTTAGTTTATACAGTCATTTAAGTATTAAATTATTTCCTAAATGATTCAACCATAAAAATAAATTAGTTTTAACGTCAAATAACCCTGAATGCATGATGAAAGAATTAACAAATTCATTGCAATATTTTCTAAAGTGTCATCCATAGTAAATACCCGTGTACTAATAATACCATTAGCAATACCAATAATTGACTACTTTTATTTTAGCACGAGATGATCAAGTTATCAATCTGCTGGAAAAATGGGCAGATCTTTTATACAAATACAGCAACCATGAATAATATTGGGAACCAGGAAAACGTCAAATCTGTGTACATATTCATCTCTCTGAACTCCCAGAAGGTTTTATTCATAGCCTGAAAGTGTCTCTCCTGAGCCACCATGTGCATTGTGACATCGACCACCTCGGTCGCCCCAACCTGTACATCTGATACATTCCTTTGAAAATACTTTTTAATGACAAATATACAGTTTTTTATAATCATGATATTGAAATATAAATGTTTCATAATCTATAATTATTTTAAGAATTAATTTGCTTGGTGCATCATTTTTTAGAGAAAAATTTCCAATAAATTAATCCAATGATTACTTTTTAGATTACTAGTAAACTATTACAATTTAATTTATGTTCAATATAGCTGGCGAAACAGTTGAACCGAATATCTTAACAATTTATGAAGTAATCCACAGTTGTTCCAGGATAATAAGTCTGAACTCGTATATATGGTCCCTATGACATGCCAAACAGCTGAACGAAATGGTCTAATATTTTTGTTCAAATTTTTTATTCTTCAATATTTGATTTTAAAAAATAAACTGGCAACGCCAAGCCTTTCTGCTTTCCATAAATAATGGTTTCTAACAGCTGGATAAGGAAGCAAAACTAGATGACATGTAATATATTTTGAAGGGAACTCATTAATAAACCTGGTTGGTGGTAACAAAAACTTAAACAATCCAAATTCTTTTTTAAATTTTGATTTAAAAAATACACAGGCAACGCCAGACACTTCAGCATTTTATAAAACAAAATTTTGTATTTTTATTTATGTAAAACATGGCGAAACATTGAACTTATTGAAGTTGACAATTTTTGATGGAATCCAGAGGTGACGCAGAATTATCGTAGTCTATAAAAATTCAATTTTTTTATTTTTTATTACCTGGACGTGCAATCCCAAACCCTTCATCATTCAAGATATTGCTGTTTCGTTTTTTGCAATTGTCTATGTCTCAGACCATCTTTTCCATGCTTTTAAACGTTTATGCTAGGCTTAGTTTGCTCAGGAGAGGCCAAATAATGTTGAAACTATGGCCTTTTCTCGTATTTTCGTCAAAATCGACCAAATTTATTTTATAAAAAATTTTAATTATGCCTTCCGACGCCTTGGAAAAATTTTAAAGGCCTTAAAGTTACCAGGAGATCTGAGAGAATACGATTCCAGCTTTAAAATCTTACAATCTACCTCCAAACGTTGAAAAAATGACGAAAGTGTCTAAACTATTTTTCCAAAAATGTTGATTTTTCACAAATATCTACACGGTAACGCCCATAACTCGATCATTTTTTAACATTTTCTCAATCCGTTTTTTTCAGTTCATTCTAGAGGTTTTTGTGCATCTTTATTGGTGCGCTAAAGTTTTTTACGACCCGTCGTTCCAAAAACTGGTTTTTTCACCCAATTATTAAGCCGCCAATCCTTTACTATTCATTTTACAAACACGCCTCTTTTATCAAAATATATATATTTTTATTCATGTTCTTTATAGCTGGGGAAACAGTTGAACCAAAAGCCTTGACATTTTTTGAAGGAATCCAGAGATGTACCACGATAATCATAGTATTTATAAATTCAAATATTTCTATAAATTAGATTTTATATATTACTTGGGAAACGTTGGGCACATCAACAGATTTTATAATAAAAAAATCCAAAAACGTACAGATGTTTCCTATATTCTGCTAAACATAAATACACTAAAATAAATTCAAATTTTTTATTCTTCAAAATTCGATTTTAAAAAACTTTAATGGACAACAACCGGCGTCCCGTGATATTTGGCCTGGGTGTGCATAAAGGTATTGTATTTCAGCCTGAAAACACAAATTTATTTATAGATCCCGATACATATTAATTCAAATATTTCTATTTTTAAATTCTTTGCCAGGAAGACGACATTCTTACCAAAATATTATTATTTATAGTTATTTAGTACTACTACATTTTAAAACTATTCAATATAAAACTTTACACATTTGGTAATTGTATAAAAATGTTTTTATCATTTAAAAATGTGGGGACACTGTCATAACTATTAAAAAATGCATTAGCTTAGACCTTTATTCACACCCAGCCCATATACATATCACGTCACAGCACTCTTTCACCTTTCCATAATTAATGACCATATACATGCTATTATGTTTCCTATAGCTGGTGAAACATCTGAGCCAAATGACTGGTTTTTTTTTAAGGGAACCCAACAATTTTCCTGAGAGCAACAAAGACTAAAATACTATCAAATTTATTCTTTCTCAAATTTTGATTTTAAAATGTGCACGAACGCCAACCCATTCAGTATTCTATTGAATAAATATTACATTATTATGTTCCTTATATGTTGTGAAACAACTGAACAAAATGGCACGTCATTTTTTATAACGGAACCCAGGGTTATCCTAGAGTTTATAAAGAATTGAGAAAAAAATCAACTTTTTTCTCTGATTTACAATGTATAACATGTAGCACATTCCAGGAAATTATAAATAAAGATAATATAAATTTCTTTACTACATTGCTTAATTTCAGAATTAAAACAATGCCGAGAATAACTTCTCATTTTGAAACCCGTGAAGATGCTCCAATGCGTCACCTGGTGCTTGGACACTCTCAAGTTCGATATGTTTGGGAACATTATCCCAATGATGGAGATAATAGTGTTTGTATTGACTGGATATCAGTTTCTGGTGGACATACCCATGAGTTAGCACAGATGATCAAAGATGAAATCAATGCATCATCAATTCCCCTGTACATAAGCGGATTGATTTGGCAAAATGATGTTGCAACACTCAATATCGACAGTGCATGTGCCGTCATTCAAGATCTCGAACAGTTTATGATAAACCGTCCTGATTGTAAACTTGCCCTTCCCGAGGTAAAGACTCAAAAAATGCTGGCTCTACAAGATTGAACTTAATAGATTGTAGTTTTTAAATTTAAGTTTGTTTTTTTCCTATCTTAATATTAAACCTAGTTTTTTTCCCGCGGATATTCAACTAATTAATCTTTAGGACTCGGGAATAAATGTACATATTTTAAATCCATATAACACCTTTATGGTCTCTAACACACAAAAATACGGTTATACAAGTTTGTACAAAATAGAATAACGTTTCTAAATATGTTTTTTATTTTTTTTATATCTTAATATTGAACCGAGATGTCGCGGTTTTTCCCCACGAAGATATTCAACTAATTAATCAGAACTCGGGAATATATATGTCTTTTTCGAATTGATTTAACACCTTTATGGTCTATAACACACAAAATTATATCTTTACAAGTTTGTACAAAATAGAATCACGTTTCTAAAAATATTTTTATTTTTTTTCTATCTTAATATTGAACCGAGATGTCGCGGTTTTTCCCCACCAAGATATTCAACTAATTAATCAGAACTCGGGAATATATATGTCTTTTTCGAATCGATATCTACTACAAAACTTTTAATTATATATTATCATGTTACAAGGGGGGCCAAACCCCCGCCCCCCCCCTATATATGGCCCCCCTGTGGGGGAGGGGAATCTTTTATTATTACATCTTTTTTTCGCAATCTAAATTCTACATTGCATTGCATTGCACACACCCAAGACTAAGACACGAAATAAAATATATTCTAATTCACATCAATACCATTCAAAGCTTTGTTTTATCAAGCATTGCATTAAACATCCATGCTTATCATTTGGAAAACTAAATATTTAATTTGTGGTTTCTCTACAGAAGTTACTCGCACATTTCTTACTTTAAAAACAATGGAGAAATTAAGGTTTTAAAGATACATAAGACATGCCTCTCTTTAAATGGATGGTCACTTGAAATTACGATTGTATTCCATTTAAGTATAATTACATTGTATAGAAAAAAAAATACTTTAAAATCTAACTTTTGCCCCCCCCTAACTAATAGTCATATTAAAAAAACTTTAATCAATACTGCCTTACTACTAGCAAGGTATTAATTTTCGTTATTCAAATAATTCTATTACATAATGCTTGCCTTATTAATACATTTGCTTACATTTAACATTTATATTTATTTTTTGTGTTCCTACCAAATTCATTATGCACATTATTATTCATAACTGTGACAACAAAAAATGCCAGACAATGATGATACATTTTTGCCATTTAAATACTTGATTATTTTCATAATCTATTTTATATAATATATTTTGTAACATTGAAACATCCAGGCTATATATTAAATTTCTAGTTATAGATTAATAATTTCATTTTATTACAAAATAGACAATATTAAATCCAAATTTCTACCTTTTAATGTTCAGGTTATGTACGTGCCAGCACTCTATCCTTACTGGGAATTTTTGTCTGAATTAAATACGCAACTCAGGAATTATAACGCAAGGCAAGGATATAGCAGGTACCCTCTGTCTAAGGTTGCTACGCGAGATTGCCCAGGAGGCGAAATGAAAATCCGCCAAAACTGTTGGGAAGAGTTTAATCAGGGAACAGGTTATGGTTATCACTTAACCTATGATGGAAAGCGCATTCTTGCCAAATTCATCAGACGCTTCCATTTTGCTGGGTTCACCGGTATTCATGTGGGTCAAAACCAGCTTCATACTAACTCTGTCCGTCAGCCTGTAAACTATCCAAGATGGCCTTAAATTCTGTATGAACAGCTATCTTTAAATGTTTACTCTCATTTCCAATTTATTTCAGGGACGAGGCCTATGATAATGAATTTGATGTAAAAAATGATTATTAAACATCTCAATATTCAAATCCCATATTTCGATAGTAAATATCACACTCTTTTATGAACAGGTAATTGTCGTTCAAAACAATGCCTGTTTCAAAGCTAATTTTATAGCAATATCAATTTATTTCAATATCCAGTTACAACCTTTCTCAAAAAATGCAATTAAATAGAGTAACTTTCAAGTGTCATGAGTACATTTTTTTCTCAGCTTTTATAATTCTAAATGGTTTTTGAGAATTTTTACTAGAGGCATAATGTGAGCATAATGTTAAGCAATTTCATCAGCAGTTTTTTTTTCAAAACTGACTTGTTGTAGTTTCAAAAACTTGTTACACTCCCTATAGGATGCTAGTGCTGGAACAAATCTGATTACAATCCCATGAAAACGTGGTGACTTTGTACAGATCCAATAACACGCCGTACAAGGTGAAGATGTAAACAATGTTAATCCATGGCTTCACAGCTTTTCATTCATAATTTTCATAGTGCTTACATTTCCTCTTGCTTGATTATTTGTAGAATAAATGTACTCNAATTGTTTTGTTATCAATTATTTTTGCATAGACTACATGAGTTTACTCATGACTCTTTGTAAAACAAACAGAAACAAAACATAATCTAGGGCGAGGTTTTAATTTGAATTTTAAGTAATTTTAATTTTAACCTTGCGAACGTTGAAATTACGTAGCGATAGACGGTCTACCTCAAGTATTGTTAATGAATACCCTATAATACAATTTATACACACACATTAACAATCAAGGTGCTAATTGGAAGTGACCACAATCATTTATTTTATTAAAGTCATATTTGATATTCTTATCTTATTTAATTGATAATAATACCCCTGTTTTTTTGATAAATTTCTTGATTGTTTGTTTATTTTGGTTTATTGAATAATTCTGGGTTGATGAACCAATTTTATATCTCCACAATATAAAGTAAACTTCTTCAAAAAACATTTATTTCTTTCTCATGTTTAGATGACTTGTTCATCTTATATTGATTGATTAGTTGATTGATTGATTGATTGATTGATTGATTGCTTGATTGATTGATTGATTGATTGTATGATTGGTTGATTCATTAATTGATTGATTGGTTGATTGGTTGATTGATTGATTGATTGCTTGATTGGTTGATTGATGATTGATTGATTGATGGCTTCATGGATGTTAATTATCATTACTAACATTAGTGTTGGCATGAAACCAATATTGTCTTACATTTCCTCTTGCTTGATTATTTGTAGAATAAATGTACTCATCATACTCACACAGGGATATATATTTAAAGGGAACACATACATCTTTCAGTTGTTTTGTTATCAATTATTTTTGCACAGAATACATGAGTTTACTCATGACTCTTTGTAAAACAAATAGAAACAAAACATAATCTAGGGCGAGGTTATGATTTTAATTTTAATTAATTTTAATTTTAACCTTGCGAACGTTGAAATTACGTAGCGATAGACGGTCTACCTCAAGTATTGTTAATGAATACCCTTTAATACAATTTATACACACACACATTAACAATCAAGGTGCTAATTGGAAGTGACCACAATTATTATTTTGGTTTAATTCATAATTTTTAGGTTGATTAACAAATTTTATATCTCCAGAGTCATTTCTTTCTCATGATTAGATAAGTTGTTCTTTGATTGATTAGTTGATTGATTGATTGATTGATTGATTGATAGTAACTTTAATCATTGCTTTGTTAGGTTCTAACATGCTAAATATAAATTAGTTACATACTAAATATTGAATACCCAATGTTTTTGTTTAGGTAACATTTCTCAACTGCTCTACTACACCAGAACAAACTGTCACTGTCAACATTTTGGTTACTCTCCATTGATCAACAAGTAAGATTTTACAAATACCAACCACTAAACTGAAATTTTTTAAACTTTATTTCACCCACTCAAAAATCACTTAAAACCCTTTTACCCAGCAAACCAAATAATGTCACCATAACGTAAAATTATGTCATAAACAATTTGATTGATAAATTAATTAAATGCATTAATAATTATCTAGCTGTTAAAGTGATACATCATAAAAACTCTGATATGATATTACTCCTACTTATATGTTATTATGAATTCAAACTATTTACCTCATTCTTTTCATTGTTATGGGCAGGCAAACTTAATTGTGTTTTCCGTACCCCTCAGCCAAATACGGGCCCACTGATTCAAACAATATCTTATCCATTTGTTGCAACCTCCTTTTCTTATCTCAGCTATTGGATATCTGAAGGATTTTCACAAAAAATTTCGCGGATTTTCAAAATTTTTAAAAATTTAATGACGATCGAATTTGATGGAGACAAATATTTGAAATTTTGATTTTTCATCAACTTCCCTGGGGTTCCTAGATGTCCCAAAAGAAAATTTGGGCCCGATCGGTTTTGACGTTTATTAGATACAAACAGACAACCAGACAAACAGACAAGTCAAATTTATATATAGATTATATGAACTTTAGTATCAAAATGTTTTTATACAGGAGATGTACAGGAACGAGATATAGTGTACAGTTAAACTGTACATACATGGAACTACAACATCACAAACTATCCAACTCTTCAAACATCCTCAAAGACTATTTGATATCACTTTTGGATTACTTCCGTATAAATCTTTATGATAGCATCACAAGCCATATTTTATTCAAGTAACTTTTGTAAAGATGCAATTTTACTTGCCTTATTTAAATCACAATGATTTAATCAACTAATTCACTAAAAAAATATTTTGTAATTACCAATACTTCAATACAAATTTTCATTTCTTATATGATAATTTTTGCCTCAAACTCTTAATTAAATTTTTTTTCATAAAAGATGGAAATTGTCAAACAAGTCTCCAAGGCGGGGTTATCAGGTAATCCTGCTATTATTTATATATATTTTTTCTAATCTTTTTATTACTTAAAGGGAGTGTTCGCGAAAAATGAAAGGGGGTATAGGCTTAATGCGATAAAAAAGCGCTTTTGATCGCTACATATTTCACTTCTATCTGTTGTGTCTATTTATCACATTAAGCCTATACCCCCTTTCATTTTTCGCGAACACTCCCTTTAAAGCTAAAATAATGATGCTTAAAAATTAAATTTTCATAAAATTCCAAGAATAATATTAAAACTAAGGTTTCCTATCAGAATTCAGTGGCGTGGAATTGCGCTATTATTACGAAAAAGGAAAAAATTAAACATACGTGAAATTGAGTGGAATTTCATACATTCGTGAAATTGAGTGGAATTTCATGCAACGGAATTGTTTTCCAATAAAATTATCATATTTTAAACTGTTTGACTTACAAATTTATGCAGCTTCTAAAAGACATGAGATATCTATAGATTTTCAATTAATATATGTCCAAGTTTCACAATTGTTTTATCAGTTTCCAAATTTTTATGTATCTATTAATTTTCAAGTTAATAATGATATCTTATTCAATTACTTATTCAGTTACATTGGTTTCTTTTACTCTATAATGTCGTCTTCCTATGCTATAGCTTTCTAGTTTTCATGCTGCATACGCATATTTTTAAACAAAAGATTTAGTTTTAAATCAATTTGAGACTAAAATGTTGTTGCAATGAAGATTACTGTATGCCGCTTCCAAAGTTATATTAACTTTTTTGTTAGTAAAAGGAATTGCGCAATAATTTATTTCATTTATGTCAGAGCTTTAATATTTTTCTTTCTTAGCAGCGAGGGTCGAGCCACCTGGAGAAGAACTACCAGGTAATTCGTTTAATTTATGTTTATGATTTGATTTGATTAAATTGAATTTGATTTAATTAAATTTGATTTAATTAAATTTGATTTGATTGAATTTGATTTGATTTAATTGAATTTGAATGAATTTGATTTTAATTCAATTTAATTTGATATGAAATTGATTTTAATTTGACTGGCTTTGGATTTGGATTGGTCGACAATATCATTATTTTTTTGTAAAAGCCTTATCACACCAAGTAATTCATATAATATAATATATTTTTTTCAGCTAATAAACACCTACAAAGTCCATGTATAATATATTTAATTCAGAGAAAGTAATGCATTTTCTTAATTTTAGACGTATGCCATAATAGGTTAATCCGGGTGCGTCAATATTGACGCAAAAAAAAACTTTTTTGCTATGCATTTTGGCGAAAAACTTAGAAAACATAAAATTCTTAGAAATTCCGAAGGAAGCTGTCTTTAAAATTTCAAGCCATTCTGTCCACAGGGGGGCCTGTCGGTATTAATGGGTTAAGAATGACTTTGGAAGAAAGGATGACTGACCCTGAGTGCAATCTCATTAAGATGGTCAATAAAACTCACATTCATATGTGTAAATCATCATATTGTCTTAAGGCAAGGCATACCCGTGCCATGCCTACAATTCCAGAAGAGGGTGAGTTGTTAGAGGCTCAGCCTGCTGTCCATTGCAGGTTTGGGTTTCCAGCAGCCCTCTGGGACTATGAATACACTGACATGGGTGTACAGAGACAGGAGCCCCATCGTCTGGGCAAACTTATGCGTGTCATGGATGAATCATCAGTGTTCCGGGGACCGATGCGGATGCATCTCCCACGTAATCATCCAAACACTGTCATACGCACTGATGATATTGTCTTGAGTTGGGGTGCCAACACCTGCTCAATGCCTGTTATACTTGAGGAAGATGCAAAAGAGTATGTCTGCAAGTACATGGCCAAAGAAGAAACTGACTCCATAGCCCTTGAGGACTTGGAGGCAGATATTATTCGCCACATGGACGATAACAATTTAAACATGATATGCCAGAAAATCCTGCTCAAACAACACAAGAGTCGGGACTATGGCCACCCCGAGGTATGCCTCTATCTTAACAAAGGAGAGGCCATGAAATTCTCTTGTGAGCTTGTTCATGTCGGAGGTCTTGAAGACAGTTGTCTCATCAATCTAGAGAACAATGACACTGACACAATTGTCAGCAAGTCACTAGTTGATGTTTACTTTAACCGGTGTAGCGTTACATCCAGACCAGGGTAATATTTGGCCCGGGTGCAATAAAAAGATGGCATTAGTAAACAAACACATTTAAAATTTTAGTCTGCAAAAGAGTGGAAAACATGCCTAAATAATGTACATAAAATGCTTCTAATTGTTTATTTATGGACTACCAAACAAAAAATTGTAACAATTTCAATAACAATGATAATGTGCATGCTTTGGGTCCGTCAAAGTAAACAATTTTTGAAGCTCCCCCCGTTCTATCAATTTTGTACATAACCAGCGGTAATTTCCTAATATACGATTTTTTCACCCCCCCCCCCTTTCCCCTCCTATCAATTTTGTACATGGATTTCACATGTAACACTCACCCGGACCAAATATAATGCCCGGACCAAATATAACGCCCGGGCCTTATTTAACGTGACACCGGGAGAATGACGAGAACTTTACAAACTTTAAACTATGCCAGGTGTTCAAACGACTTCAAGCCAACTCCAAAAAAACCTGAAGAGATTAGTCTCTATGAATTTGCCTCAATGTTTGATGTAAAGTGGCAACCACTGCTGCGCTACAAAGTAGTGTGTCCCCACCCCTACTTTGACGCATGTCCCAATGAAAACTCCAACCCAGTTTGGTATCGAAAGTTTCTCTTGACCACCATTAGGCTCCATGACCCACAGGCTGGAAGTCTTGAAGATTTGCAATTGTTGACCAACAGTGAACTGTTGGAAGTGGTTGAGCGCCTCCAAGATGACGGCACACTGCCAGACTGGGCTGTGGACCTCATACACAGATCGTATTCCACCCTGGTCAAATTACATTCCCACCGCTGAAGAGAACCTTGTCCACGACCAAGTGGATGAAGATGATCCCCTGGCTGGACTTGTAAACTGTCTTGAACAAGATGAACCGGAAGATCATAACGAAGAAGATCTTGCCGATTTTGTACTTGAAAACGCTGATGCAGCGTTCAACAAAACAGAGGACAGGGACACTCTGTGCCCTGGCTGGACAGCCTCTACAGCTGATCAGCTGAGAGCTGAAGTCCACAACGAAGGTCCTGAGGACCTGGATAATGTAGAGACTGCACTTCCTCTGAATGCCTTGGACACCCAACAGCGTGAGGCAGTCGAGTACTTGTTGTTTCTCATGCGTATAAAATGCTCCAATCCCAGCCACCAGGGTCTCTTTGAGATCATAGGATCTGCTGGCACAGGGAAAACAACCATTGTCAAATGTTTTAAAGCAGAGTTGGCAAAAACTCTTGGTCCGGATGACCCGGCCATTGGACAGCTCATACGATTTGCTGCTCCAACAGGTTGTGCCGCTAAATTGCTGCCCACACCCAATTCCACACTGCATTCACTGCTCCACTTGCCAGTGACCATGGGTACTGGAATAGGGTAAGGTAGTCATACAATTCTAGATTTGGTGCTAACCTACGTCATAACCCGGTACAGGGCACAAAGTGGACACTGGTCCTAGAGCTGTCTTGGGATCAGATCTGTTGAAGGCAAGTATACGCATAATTGTGATTGGGATTTCTTTGGCGGTCTGAGAATTTTCCACCAATAGTTTTAATCAGTGACGTCAGACGTCACCCCGTACTGTATCGACCTTTCATTCGTGTTCAGGCCTCAATGCGATACCCTATTCCAGTACCCATGCCAGTGACTAAAGGGAATGCTCCCTTGCAACATTTGTCAGAGACCACACTGAAAACTATCCAAGAGGAATTGAAGCACATGATACTCCTTGTCATTGATGAAAAATCATTCATTGGTGCAAAAATGTTATCCAATATTAACGGTCGTCTTCAACAGATATTCTGTCAGGAAGACGTTCCTTTTGGTTTCTGCTAATTGTTTTATTCGATGTAGGCTTTGCAATAGCCCTGCACACGGATCAGTAAATTGTGATTTGTACCCTGGCCTTGAACCTTCACAAATGGAGTGTCCCAGATGCTGCGCTAACAAACTATTTATCAAACTCTATCATCCTGCAAACAAATGTGTATCTTTCCCAAAAAACTAGAAATGCTCCAATGTTATAAAAATACAACTACCAATAAAGTAAACACTAATTATAATAACTTTGAAAATAAATTACATATTGAATATTTATCTGATGAAGAAAACCTATGCAGAAAAAAAATTATTTTTTGTAATTTCAATTTTAACAAAGCATATAATAAAAGGTCTTATAGCAGTGAGGTTACAGTCCCTTTAATAATAAACAATGTAGAATTGTATGCTCTTTTAGACTCCGGTTCTGAAAGTTCTATTTTAAGCCTAAAATATGCAGAAAAATTCTTTAAAAATTGGAAAAACTTTAAAGATGGATTTTATAAATTAGACTATGGAATTGGAGTTGAGGGTTCCCGGTTTAATATATTGGGTACAATAATGTTTACAGTTCAAATTGGTTCAACCATACTAGAATCATCATTCTCTATCCCGGAGAGGGGCACAGAGATAATTATAGGACTAGATCTTCTAAAATTGTTAAACATCTCAATGCATTTCTCATCTAAAATCCACTTATACTGTAATAATGAATATATTACATCGGAATTTATTGAAAAAAAAAATACAATAACAAGTACATACAACAAAAAATGTGTATTATATCCAAATGAAACAAAAATATATTCATTGCAAAATAATAATTTCAAGGATAATTCTACATACTTGTCGTATTCACATGAAGACTGTGCTTCGATTATTGTTCCCTCTACGTCAGTCCTATCTGAGAGCTTGAAGAAAAAGTTATTTCCTGGGCTTTTAGGGTAAAAAGAAGGGTCAATCACCAACCATTTGTTCTTAGAGGTTAACTCCATGTCGTCCTGAGCGAGCCCTGTGCTCCTTGATCCATTGAAACCTTCTCTAGTCACCTCAATCAAGTCTTGTAGATTTGCAAACTCAACTGAATCATCCTGAGGTTCGGGAGCAGCCCCTCTCTCTGCTCCACTAGGACTAGCTCTGGGACTCTGTTGTTCTTCATGACCATTATCTTCAGCGTCACTCATTATCTGCAACATATCATACATTAATTATGCGTGTTTTGAATTCAATAAGTAAGGTGCCCCCTAACTAAACTATATAACGAATAACGGTGAGGTACTCTTCTTTTCTTCTTGAGGTATCTTCTCTGTAGATCTTGAGGAACTTGCTGACAATTTATATATATATCACATGAAATTTATTAGGTACTTGAGTTCATTCAGTCTTATTTGGATTTTCAAAGGACAGGTATAATAACACTTTCCATTCTATAGATAAGTCTCAATTACAGGGAATTTTCCGGACGGAAAGTCTTCACCAGAAAAACGAAGACATACATAAATAATAACTGAGAATGTGTAGCTGTCCGGAAACAAAATTATCTGATTTAGACTGGTTAATTAATCAATATATGAATTTGTAATGCACAAAATGATTTCCATTAGAACAATGTCCTGCATAACAGGTGAAACAATTCAACAGCGAGCTGTCGTTCATAATAATATATACATCTGGGAGCACCCTACACTAGTATTACGTCAGTTGATGTCAATGATGCTTCTCAGCTGGCTCCTGACCTCTAGTCAACCTCTTCACCGACGCTGTCCTGCTCTTCATTGTCTTGAGTGATCTCAGACAGTTTGGCTCCCTCGTAGCTCCTAGTGTTGTCTTGTAAATATTCAGCCATCTGGGTAGTTAGGATCTGGGCAGTCTCATCTCCCATCCCTAGGGATCTGGCAAGGTGTCCAACCTCAC